AATTCCCTCTCTTTACGTGTTCGTTTGTGTTTGGGTTAGCTATACCGTGTTTTTTCCTTTCTGATAGGAACCTATATATAGTTGACTCTCCTACGCCAGTCATGTTGGCACAATTTCAACTATGTTGCGAACAGTGTTTGTGAGATTCTGAGAAACCAGAGCATCGTGGATATTAAGGACAATAGTTTTCTCTCTTGGTGAATAGACAGACTTACTGACTATACGCAACAGTACCGGTTGTAAAACTTGATGATGTTGATGATGAAGCCATCACAAACAATCCAACAAAACGAGCACGAGCGAAAGGTACGTATATGTTCGTAGGTATATGGAATAAAAAATCACTCATGCACTGCATATAATTCGCAAAAGAAATATTCGAGACGCTAATTACTGCCGTCGACGCGGAAACACCGACGAGCCGTAAATTACATGCGATCAAAAAAACGTACTAAAGAAAAAAATTATTTTCGTTCGTAATAACTTCACCCTTTCAAGTTAAGTTTCGAATATACACTGAACAGACGAGGCACGTGGCCAAACGCCGGCATCTTTATACCCATTATATTATTAAAAATCTGGGGAGTTCCATCCTAATTATCTTGCAACAAATAGTACCTGCGGATATGAATTACAGGTTTTCTAGTAAGGTGAATAAACGCGAAGATTAGTATTCAAATATCCAAAGAGATAAGGTATTCTTATTTACAAAATTGTTAATGGTTAAATTCTTATTTTTATTAATATAATATAATAACCAACATTAGCCGTGAAAGTTTTAATTGTTTTTTGCTAAATATATTAGTATTAAAACATTATTAATATTGATAAACATTTTGGAAAGGAAAATAAATGTAAAACGCATTAATTTTAATGAATAAACACCTCAGGAACGCCTATGATGATACCAATTTTACGACCGTTTTATGACTTTGAGCCACATTTCGTGCTCTCAACAATTTGTGAATTGATTATAAAGCAGTATGCAATCATTTTTTAAATAACAAATTATGTCAAAAAATACCTTCTTCCAAAATAATGATTTTATTGAAAAATGAAAAAAAATCATTGTAGATTTTTTCTGTTTTCTTTATAAAATTACAATTAAGTCGTGATTATTAATACTGTGTATTACCACCTCTATTGTGAATTACACTCCTCATTCGATTTGGTATTGAATTGATCAAATTCTGGATGTCGTTTTGAAGAAAAGCTTCCCATTCTTCCATGAGCTCCAACCGAATCTGCTCACGATTTATTGGAGCAGGTATTCTGTTTCTTACCCTTCGTTTGAGTTGGTCCCAAACATGTACAATCGGGTTCAAATCTGGTCTTTGAGCCGACCTGTTCATTTTTGGCATACCGACAGTTTCCAGATATTGCGTTACAATCCTGGCTACGTGTGTGAGCGCGTTGTCTTGCATAAAAATAACGTTTTCGCCGACAAACCCAGCAAAATGCATTACATGCTCGTCTAGAATTTCGGTAATGTATCGTAGTGCATTCAATGCTCCTCTATCAATGAATACGAGATCAGTACGGCCCTCGATTGAAATACCTGACCAAAACATTACCGAACCTTCTCCAAAAGTAACACGTACTCATCGAACACAACCAGCATATCGTTCTCCACGTCTTCTGTAGGTTTGATGCGACCATCTGAGCCATAAAAAACCATCCTGGACTCATCACTAAACAAAACATTTTTTCAATCTTCTATCGTCCAATGCTCGTGGTGCATGCTTTTATAACAAAGGTCCTGTTGCTAGACAGTGAGCCCTTAGACCAAATTCCCTCAACCTTCTTCTCACGTTAGAAGTGCACTTGTGAGCATTTTGAAAACGGTTTTGAATTGATCTAGCCGTAAAGAACGATTTTGCAAAGAAGTGCGTTGTAAAGAACGGTCTTATCGGGCCTGATCCTGTTCGTCTCTCGTGAGATCCAGTCTCTACGAATCGTTGATAAATTTTTTGCACCATACAACGACTGACTCCAAGCTGTCTGGCTCTTTTACTTATTCTATTACCAATCAAAATAACAATTTAAACAAATCTAACAAATTTTTCAGCCATAGTTTTTAATTTAAAAATTGCGCGAGTTTACTCTTCGAACAACTGTACACTAGTGAAAGGTTTTTGAAAAACAGAATAGCCATATTCCAATAAAAATAAGATACAAACAAACAACACCTGCATTATCCGAAGTCGTCAAGTCTGAAAACTTATTACCCTTAATTGACCTGTGGGCACCGTTTGTCGGTGCCTAAAATACGCTAAAAATGTTTCTGCATTGTGGGAATTTAGTTACAATAGAATAAATTGTATAAACTTACAAGTTATTAAAAAATTCTTTCAAAATTCTAGGTGACCTCTTTAATAATAACAAATAATATTGCCCAGCGATGCAAACATGTTCCCATAAAATTCCCAACTTAGGTATGGTACCAAGAAGAATAAATAAATAAATCAATGTTTTCAAGCAGTGAGTATATTTTAAATTTGAGTTAATTAGTACGTTAAATTTTAAATTAGATATATACACTATAAATGGCAACACTGTGCGCCATCGACTTTCGACGAACCTCCGTTGCCCCATCGTCAATAATGTGTCATTATACAGTGGTTGCTTGAAGCAATAATCAATCAATCCCGTTTTTACCTTGTTTTAAGCTCTATGCTTCTTCAAGGATGGGTTTGTTTATTTGGGTGCTTATGCTTATTTGGTTTGAATGCTGGTTTTCGCTCGTACGACCTCGGATTCCTAAGACTAAAGGCGCCGCCGCTAAAGAAGTGTTTCGGAAGAGGGATAGGGAAGGATACCGAGAACAAGAAGAAGGAAAGAGGTGGAAAAACGGATCTTTCGGAAGAGTTAACCCAGTGAACCAAGCCTGTCACGAAGTACAAGTTCCGTGGAAAAAACGATTCCTTTCAGATTGTTGGCCATTTTTGTCTGTTGGAAAACGCGTGGAGGATAGCTGTGGCTATATCCTCACCTAGGATCAGGTATCATTATGCAATGAGATTGGGAAACCACAGAAAACCAATCTCCCCTGTCCTTGTGATTATTTAATCGACTCTTAAGGAGTGTATGCGGTGCTCACAGTGTAGGTTATGTGTTAGATGTTTGTGGAGTTTTGTGTATTTACTGGTTAGAATTGTGTGATTACTGGTTGATTGGTGTGGGATTTAGGTGTTTATTAATTAGGATTGTGAGCGGAGTGGAGGTAAAGTGTGTATAGGGTGGATGTTGTGTTGAGTGATGTGTGATGTGATGATGTGTATGGTGTTGTTTTAGATATGTAGGTGGGTAAAGGTTTGATTTATGAAGTTATTTGTGCATGAAGTGGCTATGGCTATGAAGTTCTTATTGAAGCAATAAGAACGTAAATTTTTAATTTATTTTTGTAAACAACATATCTGTTTATACGCCCGCAGAAAAGGTTCAAATATTAAAATAGTTTTATGGTGGTAATTCTGGACAACAATGTGTAGATTTATTTTCTGTGTTTTTTGAGGGGAAACCAATTCTTTTCGTACAGTCAATTCATAATATTGTTAAAAAATTTGAGAATTATTGGCTCAAAAATTACAGAAAGTGTCACTAGAAAAAGTTGAAAAAAGAGAATACCGGGATACACAAATGTGTGCAAGAATCGAGGTAGATTCAACACGTTCAAGTAGAAGCGTTGCTAAAGAGTTAGATGTTAGCAATGTTACTGTAACGAAAGTATGGAAAAAGCACGGTTACAAGAATTTTAAAGATTCGTAAACGCAGCAGCCTTATTCAGACGACTACTTTGAAGAATGGAGTTTTCGTGAAACTCTAGTAACGAAGGCTAATGATGAACCCAATTTTATTTAAAACATTTTATTTACTTATGAATCTTCCGGTTCGTTAGTAGGGAGACACAATCCTTCCACTACGAGGTATTGTCATATAACTCAACTTCCTCAAAAACTTAATTTCTGTACTGGATTTTAAGAGACCACATAATATAAGTCTATTTTTATTGAGGGCAACTAGAATAGTACAGTATACCTCGATTTGTTACAGAATCATGTTCTTCCCGATATTCTCAATCTTCCTGATGTAAATCTGGAGAATGTTTGGTTCCATCAAGATGGCTGATCAGTTCACAACGCTCGAATAATTAGGGAGTACTTAAGCAATACTTTCCCAAATCGAGTTATCAGTAGTACAGGCGACATTAAGTGGCCTGCGCGATCTCCGGATCTTACACCCATGGACTTCCTTTTTTGAGGACATTTAAAAAGCATCATCTACGATCATCCTAGAGTCTAGAGCCCAAAATGTGGATGAATTAAAAAACCGAATATGAGAAGTCTCCAATTCTGTTACAGCAGAAACTCTTACATCTGTCCGCAGAAGTTTTTATGACAGATTAGGATACTGTTCAGCCGTAGAAAGTCAAATATTTAAATAATTTCCGAGGGCATAAAGAATTGTTTCTTATTTTATTAGGAATTATTTTTATTTTCAATAAGAATATATTTTTTGTTTTACTTTTTAAAGATATGTGCTTTTATTTTTAATTCAATCACAAAAAATTGTTCACATTATTAAAAACCGATACAAATGCACTGACTTATAATGGTCAGTGAATTTTTATCGAGTTTATGTTATAAGAAATGAACCGGGTATACGTAAGTAAAACAAAAATCTAAGAACGGAGATGCATATCCCTTGCGTTGTTATATGTTACTAAATGGTTTTCGTTTTCTTGTTTTCTGTCTAGGAGTCTCAGGCTAAGGCGTCGGAGAGAATCGGAAAATTACAATTACCTCGTACGAGGCAATGTTGCCGATTTTAGCGTGTTATATAGTTTGTTCTAATCCAAAGCTTAACGTATTGTGTAATAATTGGACAATAATTTCATTGTAGCTATCATATTGGTATGATTTACCAGTTTTATTTTATAATTTTGCTGAATATAATCGTTCTAATAATATAGTTTTAAGTAGTACTAAATTTTTCTACAGGATGTATTAAAGGAGAAGCAGCAACACATCGAACAACTTCTGAAGGAGAGGGAAGAGGCAGATCATAAACTTATAATGGTGGAACAAGAATATAAAAAGGTAAGTTGTAAGCCCACAGCAGCTTATCCGGTGTTTAGTAATTATTATTGGTTTCCGGGATTATGGTCTGCTATTGACATTTCGTCTACGGCCTTGGCAGACATCAAACATGATATAGCAAATGTCCGGGTGGTAGATTTCTTCTGACTCCGCTGACATACGTTTCTTGTTAATTTTAAACTTACTAGAAATGTTTAAACCCAATTCGCCGCCTGTGCATAAAAAATTTTTTTTGAGCCCCACTATCGCAAGAGGTATCCAAATTTGCGTAATTTTCCAGAGATTATGAAAAATGTAAAATAAATACGATAGCATGTCACCTCATGCTATCATTAGGTCCTAGAAATTTTTTGATTCTTTGTGGCAGCGTTTCAAAATCCCTACTAAATTGTGAAAATCTTATTAAATTAACTCTCTTTTGAGATTTATCTCCATACGTAAATATATACATAAAAGAAATTTAAAATAACAATCATTATATTTGCCCGTTTCTCCATTCATTGATTTTTAAAACCAAAGTGACAAAAATCAGAACATAATAATTAAAAAAATATATTCCCTCATTGGGATCGAACTCGCGACTTCTGGTTCTAAATACCGCGCTTCAACTCATTCGCCAAGTAATCTTAAATAATAAAGTGGCTAATCAATGTCATTATTTGACAAAAACGTTATTTAAGATGTCAGTTTTTTGGTTGTATTTTGTGTTTGTGTTTATTTATTTATTGTATTCCAAAAATGGAATGGTTATTTCGAATCATAGAAGTTCCAGGAAGAATATTTATTCGTAAAAGACTTTGGCCAAATGTATACAGGGTGAGTCATAACTATTGGGACATAGACTAAGGACATGTTATTTGGACCAAAATATGGCTATTGGGCCAAATATGCCTCAATAAAATGTTGCTGAGAAAAAAGATACAGGATGTTAAAGTTAATTTTTGTTTTTCGTTTTTTGCTAATAGTTTCTCCGTATATTTATAAATTGCTATCAAAATTGGCACAGAGTTTCCAAATTATTTCGAAATACAATTAAGATTTCCGCTTTAATCTGTGCTTTCTAAAAATTGCAAAGAAAAACAGACGTTGATAAAGGTGTTAAAAGGCTTTTAATTGAAAATCTGAAATCTGAATTGTGTTTCGAAACTATTTTACGGTTTTATTATCAGATGTCGCTATTGCGTCCGTATTGAAGTCATTTTAGTGTTGCTTCTTAAAAGACAGAGAATATTGATCTTTCACGTTGAGAACACCTTTGAATAACTGTTCTGATGAAACCTATTAGGTCGAAAAACGTATCAACAGATACAAAGGCGCTGTTTGCGTGAAATCAAATATTTGCTGTCTTTTTCACTTTAAATAGTATTTTATTTACAATTCCACTATCAAATACCAAACTAATAAACAAAGTTGCAACTAACGTAAGGTTTCCGTTTTGACGATAAATCAAATCTAAACACACTTTATCTTAAAAGAACTCACAAAAACTCAAACTAAATGTTCTACATGGTCTCCGATTTCTATGCCTTTTCTAATTCTTTTTATAAAGGATTTTCGGACGTTAAAAAAATATTATTTTGTCCCTTTATAAGATTAGCTGCACTTTGAATGTATCTCCCAAAGTTCGTCTCGTGTATTAATTTCATTGGCATAAACTAAGGACTTCATATGTCCCCAAAAATAAAAATCTAGCGGGTTGTACTCATGACTTCTTGGTGGCCATTGAAAATCACTGCCTCTGCCAATCCATCGTTGAGGAAATACGTCATTAAGATGATTTCTAACAGATAATGAAAAATGAGGTGGCGCTCCATCATGCATAAACCACATTTTTCTTCTTACATCCAGTGACAGATCATCTAAAATATCAGTAAGAGTATTTTCCAAAAAGAATAAATAAGAATCTCCTTTTTAAATTCGGAGGAAGAACATAGGCCCTAGTAGTTGCTCGCTTATAATGTCACACCAAATATTAAATTTAAACTCATGCTGAAAATGTCTAGCATGCGGGTTTTCTTCTTCCCAATAATGACTATTTCACCAATTAAAAATCCCTCGTATGGTAAAAGTTGTTTCGTCGGTGAACATAATATTCTTAATAAAGTGTCTGTCATTGCGATGTTTATTTCAAAATACGTTGGCAAAACTGTAACCGTCGTGGAAGATCTGTTGGAAGTAAATTTTGAACAAGAGTGAAGTAATAAGGATGGAGGTTCTCTTTTTTTAGAATTCTAACAATAGACGACTGACTTACTCCTGTTGCTGCTGATAGATATCGTGAACTTATTTCAGGATTTTCATCTACTCGAACCAAAAGTTCATGTTCTTGATTAGGTGTGATTTGTTTCGGTCGACCACCCCGATTTTTAGTGTGAAATGACCCAGTTTCACCTAAACTACGATATAATCTTGCAAATGTTTTGTGATTTGGTTGCCTTCTGTTTGCGTATAACATTTGATACATTCTGGCTGCCGAGCGACAGCAAAAATTTTCTTGTGCGTATACGCAAATCATATCTCGCATTTCTTCATTAGTAAAATGATTGTGACGAGGCATTTCAATCTAAAAAAGTAATGATTACTTTTAAAAAATGCAACATTACACTAGACTGTCACATCAAAAATAATTTTACTCTGAACAAATGACATTACCAACAACAATTGGTAATGGAAATTCTTTTTTAAGACTCTAAGACAGTTCGACTGCGTTTTTTATCGAAAACGGTTGAAATTATCATGTTTAAACAAGAGTACCAATTTTACGTAAAAATGATGTTTACGTCATATTTTCTAATAAAAATTACTAAAAAGTTTCATCAGAAAAAGTTTAGACTAAATTTGATCATTAGGAATAATCCACGTGGCGCTCTCTATGACAAAACGTAAAATTGTAAATAAAATACTATTTCTTGTCTAAGATTATGCCTCTGTGCCAATTTTGATAGCAATTTATAAATATTCTTCTTCTTCTTCTTCTTCCAATGGCGCTACAGCATAAATTGAGCCTTGGCCTCCTGTAACTTCTGCCTCCAACAAAGGCGATCCCGCGCCACTCGTCTCCAAGCCCTGACGTTCAATAAGTTGTGCGCATCTGCTGTGACTTCGTTCTCCCATCTATTACGTGGTCTTCCCTTTGGTCTTCTGCCCTGCATTTTACCATCCAAGGCCTTTCTCGGCAATCTGTCGGCATCCATCCGTACCACATGACCAGCCCATCGAAGCCTTTGTACTCTAGCGAACTCTGCAATAGGTGCTTCTTTGAACAGTTGGTAGAGTTCATGGTTATATCTAGATCTCCACATCCCATTTTGAGTGATGGGTCCAAAGATCTTCCTTAGGATTTTTTAGGAAATCCTAAGGAATTTATAAATATACAGGGAAACTATTAGCAAAAAACGAAAAACAAAAATTAACTTTAACACCCTGTATCTTTTTTCTTAGCAACATTTGGTCCAAATTTTGGTCCAAATAACCTGTCCTTAGTCTATGCTCCAATAGTTATGACTCACCCTGTATATCTACCGAATTAATATATATAATAATAATATTAATAAATATTAAATATATTTACAAAAGGAACATTTTTATTCTCGAGAGAGAAAATATATCTTCGGTCTCTCTCTTACCTATATCTTACATATGTAATGATTTTGCCGATTCACTCCCATAGAAATTTCCAACGTCGAATGCGCGTATAGAAGTATAACTTCAAAAACATGCATATGCGCCGCGAGCAGCGTATTTTATTTAAATAATAAATGGACGAAATTTTTGTTCAAAACTAAATTACTATTATTTGAATTAAAACTATTTGCGGCCACTTTTTGACTGCCAATCTATTATCAATGTATTTTCCTAGATTTAAATATATGTAAAAATGTGAGTTTGAATAACTATGTTATGTCATAGTGATCTTGCAGTGGTATCTCGTAATATTAATTCCCGGGTCTATTGGTAGTTATCTGATAAAGTTTAACTGAAGAAACCAATTTTACAAATAGTGAATAATTTAAATACGTCGTTGTTTTTAAAGTAAAGATGCTACAGCGACATCTGAGAATAAAACCAGAAAGTAAAAATCCGAAAATATCTAAGTTGACGAAACCAAACTTCAGCTTTGTATTTTAATTACTGTTTTAATTTAGTAATAACAATATTTAATATTTTTTCAGTATCGAGACGAACATGGGAACAAGTTAGAGCAGGACTTTTTATTATTAAATGGGCTTAAAAACGAAAATACTCAATTGGCTTCTCAGCTTGAAGAGGAAAAGCGAAAGACTGAAGATATTCAATTTAGATTAGAAGAAACTGTTATATTTAAGGAAGATTTAGAGGTTTGTATGAAGTATTTTCCTTTAAGTATAAACGATTCGAAAGAACATTGGTAGAAAATATTCATTTTTTTTTTTAGAGACTTAAGTAAACAATCTTTTTTAAGTAGTTATAATTTTAAATATAAAAAGATCCAGAAAAAAAAGTATATAGAAAGCAGGATAGTCCTGTTCTTTGTCTTACGTCCATACTATAATATCTTTCGTCTTATCGGAGTTGATCATATACTGGTAGATCACAAACATACTCAAACACAAACTACTATAATGTTCATATTAAGGAAAACTTTATTTAAAAAAGAGAATGAACATATTTTCCATTTTAATGTCCTTATTTAGGACTTCCAACGCACGTACTTTTGTTTTGTTTGTGTGTTGCTGGATGGTTTTGTAGTTGTCGTGAGTCGGTTGTTTCTTGTTTTTAGCAGTTTAAAATTTTGGACTGGATAGTTTTGAAATTTAAGAAATTTTGAGACTTTTTGAGTGTGTTCCGGTATTTTTGTGTTTTTAAGTTTTATGACTATGCTCTACACAGATCTCGAGGGAATAGTTGCGGCTGTTTTATCGGAGAAGGACAGTTATCATTGTGCAAAGAGATTCTTCTTTGTCAACCATTTTCCATCCACTCCTGAATGTAGGTCTCTCTTAATTGCTTCCATTTTTCTCTATCTTGCGCCAATCTAATCCACTGTTTGCCTGCCACTGCTCTTATGTCATCTACCCATCTTTTTTGAGGTCTTCCCATGCTTCTTGTTGTCGTCCTTGGTCTCCATTCTAGAATTCTCCATGTCCACCTGTTGTCATTATATCGGACTATGTGACCTGTCCAGCGCCATTTTATTTTTGTAATTTTGTCCACGATATCCTTAATCTTCGTTTGGCTAAAAGAGAGTGGTTTGGCTACATCACTAACGAATTATTCAAAACAGCAGTAAATAAAATTAGAATCACCCTAATGATATCCAATCTCCGGTAGGAGAGTCACTCAAAGAAGAAGATCCGCTATCGATGGTATTTCCTTTGACAAGGTCATCGATGAACAAAATTAAAAATAGGATATCCCAAAATTGTACAGATATTTGCTCCCTTGCTCTCTTTAGGGGGTTTTACCTGCTGTTTATCACTGATGTGCACCGTACTTTTCTAAATATTTATTCTCAGGATCAAGTATTTCGTTTTAGATTTGGGATTTCTACCATTCCATGGTTTTAATATTTGAGGGGCTGAGAGGAAAAGTGACATTTAGATAGTTTTGAGAAAATGAGAGTTAAAGTTTAAGTAGTGGCACAAAAAGACCAAACAAAATTTTTAAAATCTAATCAAGATATTATTATTAGTAAGTTCTTAATGTTTTCATGTGCAGTTTTTACAATCATATACATTTAGTTTTTTTGAAACATTTTTTACAAAATGTACATGTACCATTTTTGTTGTTTAGAGTAAAAATGGTACAAGTAAATATTACCATGAGTAAATAAATAAATAATATCTTTTATAAAAGAAATACACGTAATTTTTTGAACATTTATTTAAGAAGCTACATTAGATACGAAAACAAAATGTATATTGCACAAAAATACAGGAACAAAAAATGCATAAAAATAATAACGAAATGATATTATATAGACGTGCTACCAACTGAGCTAAATATCTTCCTCATCATCATAGTCAAAAGTATTTTATCATTGTCGTCTACCTCATCGTCATTTTCATTGTCCTTCTCTTTTCTTTCTTCAGGTTGCATTGGCTTCTTTTTCTGACCTTGTTTTCCCTTCTTCGCAGTGTGATTGAGCTGATTGTAAAATTGATGGTAAATTGGTGGCACAAAGTATAGTAGGTCTTGTAAATTCTTCCATTTTTCATACTTCAGACTCATGGGTGAACTATACAGTTTGCTAAGACTAATATTCTGAGGTGTTCTTCCACGCATCTTCTTCATACAGTTAACAGTTATAAATTCAGTCTCTTCATTGAGAGTGTACTTGAATTTCATAGTAAATGGGTCTTTCTTCTCAAACCGAATCCATTTTATTTCTCTCCATTTTATCTGCTTATTCTCATCATTTTTTTTTAATATTTTCCTGCACGTACTCGTTGAAGTTTTCGAGTGAAATGAAGTGCTCCATCTTCATTTCTTCACATTTAAACTTCTTAGAACTGTTTCTCACAGCATTCATCCACTCACTGGGTACAAAAAATATAAGGTACTTGCTTTTTGTACTTTTCAATGACTCCGAAATCTTCATCGCATTCCATGAAGGTATGTCCCGGTTCAAGGAATTTGTGGTCTATTATTTCTAGCTGAGTTTCTTTAACCACATACATAAAAAATTTCACAATATTTTTATTCTTATTTTGTCCCGAACAAGAATCACTAAATGCAATAAGATGTCGTGTATTTTGATTAAGACCAGCAATAAATTTCCAAAGACATGAAGAAACTTTCATAGAGCCTCTGGATGCTACCGATTCATCCCACATATACATTGAAGCACATTTCTTGCCCAAATTATGGATTCCAAAATTATATGTCCATAATACTCGCATATAAAACACTTTGTTGGTTGTAAGAACTGGTGTAGGTAAAGTTTTTTGTAGATCGAAACAAACTGATACCACTTCTTCATTCCTTGAAGTTTCAGCCACTATTTTGCCTCTTTTTTGGCTTGTATTCCCGATTCGGCTTTTCGGTGATGAAGCTCTCTCTCGCACATTATTTTCTTTTTATCTGACTCACTTATGCACGATTTTATTGATGTTTCGAACTTATCGCACTTATTACAAGTATCGGACAAGGGATGATGAAAACTTAGATTAAATTCGATATTAAACACTCTCCTGTAGCACCATTCCTTGACAGGAGCTTCGTTATTTTCTTGACAATGCTCTAGTTAACACTTATACATTTTTCTTATGGTCAAAAATGAAGGAAGGTACCGTCTACGGGGATTGTAATGTCTGGTGTAATGGCTGGTATATTTTGGAAACATATCAATATGTCGTTTTACCTTATCAATTACATCCTGTGATAGTTTATTAGGACATGGAGCTCTTCCTCTTTTATCAACAGCGGTGATTCCAACGTCAGATATCCCATTTAAAATTCTCGAATAACGTCCATTGCTGATATCCAAGGTTTTTAAGAAAAACATTTTGCAAACTTTCATATTTTTTAGTTTGATAGTAACGCTCTTTTCTTTATTAGTAACAGCTTCTGTACGTCGTCGTTTGGGCAAAGCGATCTCTGTACAAGACGTAATGAATGCATTCTGCAGATTCCAATTTCCTAGATCCCAGAATTGGTTAAATATTTCCTGTCTTTGTTCATCGGTGAATTTTTGACACTGAAATCTGCAAGTATGTATATAATTTTGCAAACTTCTTGCTTTTACTAACTTGTTTTTATAGCCTACGTATTCCTCACCTGCATTTCTTTTCGTTTTCTTACTTGCCTCTTATCTAAATCGCTATATCTCAAACGTTTTTTGCCCTTTTTTTTTAAATGACTTGTTTAAATGAACATCTGCAATGTTTTGTATATCATGATTACTATCGCTACTACTTTCTTCTATTGGATTATAGTTTCTGTCCTCTTCTGAATCGTCATATTCCGAATAACTGTCAGATTCTGAAACAAAAAAGAAACATTTTAAGGTTATGCTATAAGTTTCTTTCAACTACTACTTTTTGAAGACATAGATAAATAAAATAACCCTATAAAATAACAATTGAAAAAATATAAAACGCATTGAAGACTTACCTTGCATTATTTTAAGGCTATTTCACAAATTGTATTAATATTCCTGCACACTTTTAAAACGTGGCTGTCACAAACAACTACATAAGGTTTAGAACAAAAGTGGGACATGTACGCTTGGACCACTTATACAGAAAACCATTACCAGAAATTGGTGAGAGCTTTTACTTCTCACATACAGATGTCCGTACTGTAGTGTGTTTTGTACTTGTACCATTTTTATATTAATAAATCTCAACATCCTCTAGCCACTCATGCACATATCTCACTTTTATACAAAATGTCACTTGTACCACTTTTCCTCTCAGCTCCTCATTTTTTTAATATAATACTTATATTGAAAAATCGCTGTATTCTTGGTGATTCGATGTATCGTCGTCATAACAGAGATACTTTCCTGTGTTTAACAATATATTATCTATTCTGAATGATCGTAGCTACCAGCTGTTTATAACCATTTTTTCTTTGGTAATCGAGTTTATAATTCACCCATATTGTATGCAATTTTCTTCAATAAAGCCTTTTCATAGTCTACAAAGGCAAACTTTAGTTTTAATAAATTAATAAAAATTATTTGTGAAATTTAACGAAAAATTAAATGATTCCATATTTTAGACCAAAGATAAATCTAATGTAGCCAAAATTCAAGAATTGCAAGATCAACTTACAGCGGAGAAGCAAAGAATTGAAGCATTGGAAGCAGATACAAATAAACTATTTGAAGCCGAAGAAAATTTGATTAAATACAAAGAAGAGTTGGAAACATTGAGGCAAGAACTGCAAAGTGCTCGTAACAAAGAAGTTATCTTGGAAGGCAACAGTGCTAGTACTAATGGTAAGTAATTCTTTAGTTCCAAATAATGCTTTAATTTAACAATATGATTTTAATTATCAATGATTATTGTTTTGCTTAACTCTTCGTTAATTTTCAACGTTAGTTTTCTTTTATATTCGGGTGTTTTAGCAGAGTGCTTATTTGTTGTGTCTTTTGTTGTTTTTTTATTTTCTTTAAGGGGATTTCGAATTTTACGATTACTGGATTGTTGTCTGATGTCACATCTGTTCCTGGATATGTCTTTGCCGATTTGATGCAGTTACGGTATCTCTTATTGATAAGGATATAATCTATCTGGTTTCTGATATTTTTTTTTTCTATCCATAGGTGATTTCCATGTATATAATCTACGTGGTGGTAGCTGAAAGAATGTATTTGTCGCTATTATTTCAAACTCCTGACAGAATTCCTATACTTTTGGATCTTCTTCTTCTTCAAGTGCCATCTCCGTGGCGAAGCTCGGCAATCATCATAGCTATTCGGACTTTTTCTTTCTTCTCTCTTTCCTTGGATCTTTCCCTGCATAATCAGTTGGAGCAAGGTGTATTTCTCTCCACGTGTACTACTTTTGGATAGTACTTTATATTTATTTCACACGACTCTTTAGCATGCTGTCTATTCACCTGCAGCTTGTATTATTTCTACTTCTCTCCCATTTTTACACACCGCCAGAAAGTACTGTAGATGAGATCTTCTTTTAATTTATTTTTTATTTTTTAGTGTTAATCAAATCTCTGCAAGACGAAGTAGATCAATGCAAGCTGGACTTGGTCGAAAAGAACAATCTAATAAATGTACTCAATAACGAACTCGAAAAAACAAAGAAAGATTTAACGAAACAACTAGAGGACAGCTTAGTAAAATACTCACAATTAGAAATCGTTATCAATAAAAAAGAGGAAGATTTGGATAAAATAAAAAAGGAAATCGAAGAAAACAGCAAGCTGCTCGAAGAACGATCGGCAGAATTATCCAAAGTTGTGAACGAAAAGTTTACTACCGAAACAAATCTTGAAAAAGAATTGGAACGAGTAAACCTAGAATTAAATACAAAAGTAATTGAGTTGAGCAATCTACAAAATCAGTTGCAAGACAAAGACACCAGTACATCTACACTTCAAACAGATATTACTAGCCTTGAACAGCTCCTAAAGGATAAAGATATTGAAAAAGAAGAATTTGTTAAGCAAAACGATTTAAATAAAGCCCGTTTAGAAGAACTAACAAATGCTTTAAAAATAAAAGAAAATGAATGCAAGGAAAATCAAGAAAACTTTGTTAAACTGAAGAGTGATTATGATGCACTTACTGTGCAGTTATCGACACTTCAGTCTGAATTAAATCGGTCCGCTGAAGACAAAGATGGGCTTTTACAATCGAAAAACAATGAAATAAACAGACTTAATGATACTATTAAAAATAAAGAGGAAGAATGCCTTCAAATAAATAGTAAGCATAATACACTGCAAGAAAATCATGATAAACTTATCAGTGAGTTAGAAATGTTAAAATCAAATGTTGTCACATTAGAGAAACAAAAACAGGACACACAAGAATCTAAAGATGTAGAAATTAACGAATTAAACACTAAATTGACTGTACTTCAAAGTGAGCTCTCCCAGCAATCAAATTCCTATAATGAATTAAAAACATCTTTCGACAAAATACAGCTTGAGTTGCAAAGTTTGCAACTAGCTACCACCGACGCTAAAAAACAATACGAATCCGAAGAAATGAAAGCAAACCTAAAAATAAAAGAACTTTCCGACAGTCTTTCTACAAAAGAAAGCGACATTCAGAATTTAACGAAAGAAAGCGATGCACAAAAACTAAGTTTAGAAAGTGTTAAAACTGAATTAGAGAAAACGAAACAAGCACAAGAGCAGATACTAAACGAGAAAAATGAGAAAATCAAAGATATGTCTACTGTAATTCAAAAAAACTCAGCTACTATATTAAGCCTACAGTCACAGCTAGAAATAACAAAAATCGATTTGGAATCAGTATCGAATAACTTACAGCAGTACCAAACTAACCTAAGTGACGTAGAATCTAGCTTGAAGCAGGAAAGAGATGCAATAAAGCAACATTTAAAAGACAAAGTGAAGGAATTAGAAGACAATAAAGCTGAATTTGCGAGTACATTAGCAGCGCGTGATTCGCAGCTTGAAGAAATATCTACCAACCTAACAAATAAAGCTCAAGAAATTGAAAATCTTAAAAAAGAGATTGGTACTCTTGTAGAACAGTACGAATTGAGCAATAAAGAAGTAGTAGCCTGTCATACACAAGAAATTACAGTTAGAGATGAGAAAATACGACAACTTGAAAGTGAAATTTTGGAAAAGGACCAAAATATTAAAGTTCATTTGGATACAAGTAACGAACATCAAGAGAATCTGAAACAGAAAGATTTGGATTTAGTAAAAATAAGATCTGAGTTGGAAGAAAGTAAAAAAGCTTCTTCAGAGATGATTGCAAGTTTAAAGAATGAAATTGAAAGCCTCCAGAATGATAACAAACAACAGCAAACTACAAACAATGAATTAAACATGAAACTTCAAAGTAGAGAACAATTAAATGTGACTATAAATTCAGAAATGGCCAAAGCAGCCGAAAATATGACGAATTTAATGGAACAAGTAAAACAAAAAGAGGACATAATAGCATCTTTACGGTCAAACTTAAGTTCGAGAGAAAAAGAGTTAGAAGATGTGCTAGCTACTAATTTAAAGGTGTTGACACAGAAAAATGAAACCGAAAGGCAGATGTTAGTTGACAACGAAAATTTACGCAACAGTATCAGTAACAAAAATAATGAATTGCAACAAATGCAAGACAGATTAACAGAAATATTATCCGAGAACGAAGAAGTGATCAATGAAGTCAACAATAACGTGTCCAAAAAATCGGAGGAGCTAGAGACGGTAAAACAACAACTTAAGCAAGCTGAAATTGATCACGAAGATAAGTTGAAGCAAATCGAAGAAGAACACAAAAAAGAAATGCACGATTTCGAAATCCGTGTCTCAGATTTGCTAACAGAAATTGAAAACAGAGACAAAGACATATCAGGCTTATCGCAGCTCTTGGAAACCAGTTATAATAATAATAAAGATCAGGACAATAGAATTAATAGTATCAATCAAGAATTGGCTAAATATAAAACCCAAATACAGACTCAATTAGACACTAATACAAAACTAAGTGAACATATAAGTCGAATTAGTAAAGAGAACAAGGTTATACAAGAGAAATTAAAGGATGCCGATAACCAAATCGAAATCCTTGCTGCCGAAAAAGAGAAGTTAAGCAACGAATTATCTGTTGTGGTTGCAAATTCGGGAGATTCTAGTAAAAAAGTAACCGAATTAACTGCAGTAATTAAAGATAAAGAGAGCGCCTATGAAATCGAAAACGTGCAAAACAAAAATAAAATACAGGAATTGGAAAGTGCTCTTCAAGCACTTCAAGTGACTAACGAAGAACTTAGCAGTTCAGCTAAAAAGTACAAAAGTGACTTTGACGGTTCTGTGAAAGGAAGTCAAGAACTGGAACAAACGATAGAGAGTTTTAAAGTTGAATTAACTAATAAGGCGACTGAAATTGAAACTCTACAGAAAAACATCAAGGCTGCTAATCTAGCTATTACTGAGAAGGACGTGCAGCTCAGTAAATTGAATAATGTGTCGACAAATCGTGTTCAAGTAAGTATGTATTTACTTATTATGTATATATAGATTGAACCAAATTAAAACGGAACATACAATTTAAAACTATACAATATAAAACTTGGACAAAAATAAATCCATACCTGGGTATAGATATTGTATAAAATATCGTTCAACTATCTGTCTCACAACAATGTTGTTTGCGTAAGACGGGTTTGTCTAAGGAAACGATAATAGTTCAGGAAATGAATCTCGAAAAAAGTTAAAACCTAGCAATTTTTTCGTCCTGCATGTATCCAGTTGAAATTTTAACAGAAGGTAGGTGATAGCCCAAGGATCAAAATCTACCTAATTGTCAAAAATTATAAAATAACATATTAAACCTGAATATGGGTTTGAATTAGTTAAATAATGATTATTTTATACTTTTGAATAGAGTTCCATCATATTTCAACCCTTAAAAAGCAACCCTTGTTAGAGGTTAATGTAAAAAAATTACTAATTCTACAAAAATGATTTCGCCTTGGATCGATTTGGATAAAAATTTGGATTTAAGCTCAATTCACCCGCTGCTGTATAGTTTATGTCATGTCGACGAACCCTGATTGTTCTAAGGGATGAAAACTACCCGTAATTGTCAAAAATTATAAAATAACATATTAAACCTGAATATGAGTAAAATTTGGTTTGAATTAATTAAATAATGATAGTTTCGTGCTTTTGAATAAAGTTCCATCATATTTCAACCCTTAAAAAGCGACCCTTATTAGAGATTAATATAAAAAAATAAGTAATGCGAAGAAAATGATTTCACCTTGGAAGGATTTGCATAAAAATTTGGACTTAAGCTCAACTCACCCTCTGCTTTATAGTTTATGTCATGCCGATGAACCCTGATTCTTCTTAGGGATGAAAACTACCCCTAATTTTCAAAAATTGTAAAATAATATTATAAATCTTAAGATGATTAAAATTTGGTTTGGATTAGTTAAATATTGATTTTTTTATACTTTAAAATACAAATTCATACATTTTCAACCCTTAAAAATCAATTGTTATGAGTGCTATAGTTGAAAACAATTTTTTGCCAAAACTTTGCAACTTTTCAACTTTGAAAATCACCCTTTACAACATTGCAGTTTTTATAAACTAATTTATAAGATATAAATTGAAAAAAGTAGAATTAAATACAAAAAAATTTATCAACATAAAAAGGCACCATATATTCTTATACATTTACATAAATAGTAGAAAATATTTACATTTATAGGTAAAACAATTATAATATTAATTTTATTCGTCATCAATTACATCTTCATCGTGATCTATGTCATCCTCATCTTCAATTATTGGTGGACTATTATTGCACCCTTCACCTAAGCACCCAGAACAAGTAGAGTATAAACCAACTTTTCTGCACCCACATGAAACACCGCATCCTTTTTTGCATTGCCAAAAAATAATTTTCAAAAGTTCATCGAGTGCAGGTTGTTTGTTCATGCGTACGGGTAATAACAAACCATCTTTGAAATACCATCCCCAATCTGTTGCTCTAATATTTTCATTGCCAAGCCATAGACATATGAGCAGATGTTTTATTCTGTTGTATGGGATTTCAAAATAAGAACGCTTAAAATTTCGAATGTATAACGCCCCACTAGCTAATATACCGGTTTTGTAGATTATTATGCTCCGAAATGTACTGTACTATACTAATAGAATTTTCCGGAAAAAAATTCACTGGTTTTTTTAACGTATTTCTTTTAATTTTTAACGATAGAGTGTTTCTTCAAAAACAATTTGTAGAGGTTTTTAAGAGCTACAAGGATCTGTGAATTAAATCTTTTTGGAACCCTTGGTTTTTAAATGGGGTGAGTTTAAAGGGCTCGAAAAAGATGGTGCTTGATCGTAAATCGATGCTTTAAACGGCTATATCTCGCCAAATATTCATTGTACAACAAATCTAAATGAAGGATAATTTTAGTCATTAAAAAAGCTACAATTTGGTAATTTGTATTTTTTTTCATATATTCAGTATTTTCGGGCATATTTAAAAAAAAAAGGGTAAAAAATATGAAATTGTAAATCGTTTCTAGCTTTAAGCTGTACTTTTTCTAACACAAAGCATTTTAAATGGGTCAAACTTCTTGGACGTATTAACAATACATGTACAAAGCGAATTTCAGAAGGGTAAAGATCGATTTTAATTATGGAGGAGGTTAGGGTGTTGTTTCGATTTTTTCGTAAAAAATGAGGTATTGACCTTATTTTCATCCTAACTCACTCAATTTTTGAGCTAGAGTCTTTTTTATGATAGGTCTATTTATGCTCTTTAAAAAAGGTTTTGTGAGTTTTCTTCCAAAAATGCATCATTTTCCCGATATTTGATTTTGAATCTTTCAAATTTGGCATTTCATATTTTTTTACCCGATATTTGATTTTGAATCTTTCAAATTTGGCATTTGAAGAAAACCGCTGAACATTGATAGGCCGTATTTCGGTTCCTATTATATCCCAAAAACATTTTAAAAAATGAATTGTATTTGTCTTTTTAAAAGCTACAAATTTGTTCTCTACAATTTTTTTGATAAAATGCACCATTTTCGAATTATTCGCGAAAAATCGATTAAAAACGTGGATTTTTTCGTCTAAAAGTTATTACTTTCAATTGCGGATAACTTGAAAAATATCATTTTATAAAAAAAATGTATAGCACATTTTTTGTTTAGAATCACTTTTTTAATCGAAACCTGTAGTTAAAACGTAAAAAAAATTTCACCCCGGAGATGGGGTGGCAACCACCCCTTAGGCTTTGGCGCACTTTGGTTCGATATAGATTTTGATCCTTAGGCTATTACCTACCTTCTGTTAAATTTCAAGTCAATCCAGGGAGCACGAAAAAATTGCGAGCTGAAATGCTTCATTTCCTGGACTATAACTGGTTTGACAGCATAAATCGTAGATTTATGTGTAGCTTTCAATTTTTATGAGTTCAGAATCCAGCAGCCCGCTGAAGTATTGGATTTTTATAATATAATTATTTGACAATATTTTGTTGGCCAACCACCTACAGCAGAATTGAGCCGAAATACATTATATTCCTATGTTCCGAATTTATTTCGTTCAATCTGTAGACGTCACAATTAAAATAATATTAAAAACATGTGACAGACCTACTAAGTCACTACATGTAAAATGTATATTTGTTGTTTATTGATATTAGTTTATCGTTTAAACGATCAATTATTTTAACATCATAGGCGTTCTGAGATTATCTTTTTGTGTGTTTTTAAATTAAATTAAAATATATTTTGATTTGTATAGACTCTAGAAACTCACTCTTCTTCCTGTTATATTCATTTTTTAGGATCTTGGTTTTGTCAAAATCAAATTTATGATTCTTTTCGTTTTCATGTTTTGTGAAGGCGGTTGATTATTTTTTGTCATATTTGTGGGAACGTATTCTTGAGTTAAGTAGCTGACTGGTTTGTCCAATATATACTCCATCACAATTCGAGCAGGGAATTTCATACACATCATTCGATTTTTTTAATAGAGAGGTTTTTGTTTTTAATTTTGTAAAATTCTTTTTCAAAAGATTGTGCCCTTTATGAGCAACTGTAATGTTATGTTTAAAAAGAAGATTTGCAATTTGTTCTGATAACCCTTTTATATAGGAGAGAGACGTATAGTTTTTCTTTACCATGTTGGTTTCATTGTTGTTGTAAAATTTATGCAGTCGCGATTTGAAAGTGTTGTCCATAAGGTGGTGTGGGTATGAATTGAGTGTTAGTGCTGTTTTTGCTTTTTTAATGGCCTGAGATCTATTGATAGGATTGGATAATCTAATAGCTCTATCGGCGAGTCCGATAACTACTGATTTCTTTTGAGACAAGGGATGATGAGAGTTGAAATTCAAGAATATCTCGACGACCAGGTTTTTTGGTATATCATGAACTAGTTATAGTGCTGTTTTATCTATATAGCGATAGAAAAAATGTAGTTAAAAATCTATTTTATTTAAAACAATTTCCTCTAGATGCTCTAAAACTAGATTGAACGATGGCACTTGATATGCTAGCACCCATAACACATCCATCTGTTTGTTGGAAGATTTTGTTTTTATATAGGAAATAGGTTGACTTTAATGTTGTTTCGACTGCTCTTTAGTAGAAATTCTTCTGGAGGGATGTCTGTGAACGCTTTGATTTCATTCCACTTTTTTTAATAATGTCTTTCGCTAAAGCTATTGGAATATTGGTGTATAAAGATACCACATTGACAGAAACTAATTTATAATTTGGAGGTAAATCTATATTTTTGAGTTTTAATTTCAGGAGATCAGCGTCTTTTAAATAGTGTGAATTTTTATTTATTACGTTGGAAATAATGTTCTTCAAAGATAGTATTTTATGTTGCTAGGAACCTCCGGCCGATACGAAAACAGATATCAGCCAATTGTTAGAAGAAAAACTGTTTGCGGAGAATCAAGTGAATTTCCTCAATTCTATTATAGCTGATATGCAAAAAAAGAGCGAAGAACAGAAGGCTAGAATCGAGATTTTGGAGATGGGTTATAGTTCGTCGGCAGCAGATGAATTGGCATCGTAAGTTCTCATTTTTAATTATGATATTTATTTCTACATTAACTCGTCTAGAAAATAAGAAATATTATTTTTTGAAGTTGTGATTATTGCTAATAATTGCTAGTAATTATTTTTTATTAAAAAAATCGCTAATAAAATTTTCACATATGTGAAAATTGGAATAAACAGTTTACATTCTTTGATTGTATTTTTTCTTTTCAAAGTTTCTTTGGTTAGGATCTTCGGTATTTGTTTACATTAGTGAGAGTTTCTAAAAATGCGAATTTTTGCTGGACTTAGCCTGAAAAATAGAGAAAAGGCAACATTTTCATGTTTACGTCTACGGAAATATACAAAAAGTGAAAAAAAGTAAAAAAAAATTAAAACAAGTTCATAAAAAGTATAGGAAATGAAAAATTAGCAAGAGAAAAATGTTATGGAAATACAAAATAGCCGTAATAGTTATATAAAATTTATAAATTAATTAAAAATACAAAAAAATGTCAAAAATTCATTTATTTGGAAAAACAAGTTAAACGCGTTTGCGCACAATATAAAATATTCCGCGGAGGTGCAATGTTGCCATATACACATTTGTTTTTTTTTTTCGGAATAAATATATTGAATTTAAATTTTAATAAGAGTATACTCCATTTGAGTTTATATTGTTTTTTTTTTCAGAGTAAGTATATTGAATTTAAGATTTAATAAGAGTATATTGCATATCAGTTAATATTGTTTTTTAAAAGTGTACCACATATGATTTAATATTGTTTTTTTGCGGTGTAAATATATTGAATTTAAGTTTTTAATAAGAATATATATATATATATATATATATATATATATATATATATATGTGAATTACATATGTCATTATTATTATTATTATTATATTACATTATATATATATATATATATATATATATATATATATATATATATATATATATATATATATGTCCATATAAGTTGTTACCTACCGATAGTGCTAATATGCCGGTGGATATGAATTAAAAGATTGAGATTTTGAAATATTTTAATAAAGCTTTTGAAATATTTGTTATCACAGAATAATAAACAATCAGAATGCCCACTCTGCTTGAAAAAATAAGTACGCGCATCTCGTTCGCGCAGACGGAATCAGCCATGTTTTAGTCGGAACCAGTGCTGTTCGATAACATTTTATCGGGTGTGCATAGACAAATTAACCCGTGTTTAATTTATTTACGGCAACTACAGACAATACAGACATAACATGCACTATTTCATTCATACTTTTAGTTGAAGAGTAGATTAAATTATTCCAAATGTACTAAATTATTAATCTACAAATTTAAATGACAGTTCTGTCATCGCTTGTCACAAATTGCTCAATCCGAGTCCATGTTTCCGTCTAAAACATGGCGTTCGCGTGCTGACAAACTTCAAAGGCGGCATCTGAGAGTGGGCATTCTGATTGTTATTTATTCTGTGGTAATATTTTATTCATATATTATTTATTTGACGTTACAAGTTAGGTACTCCTGTGAGGTTTGCTAAATATTTAAAATTGTTAAAATTGCCAGGGTAACTTAAAACACGCGCGTTTTTTTAAATTAAACACGCTACGGCGTACTTTAAATAAGCAAAATGGGGTACCAATAAAAAAAAACAAATTAAAACCTAATACACCATAAAACGAAATAAACTATAATCTATATGTATTAACATAAGTTATTACATATTCTATATGTAATATATAATCTATATGTAATAACAAATGAAACACAGATATATGAATCCCTTAGAAACAGAAAGTGGAAATAATACTCATTATCATTATTCCTTTATGATTGTACTTGAGAATTAATATTTTCACAATAAACAATATATTTGAAAAGTGTGGCAACATTGCATCAAGAAGTATGTACTACGCGCACGCACATTATTGACAGCAGCTGTAATGGCGGCGGCATCTTCAAATTTATGTCAAAATATCAGTTTTTTAAATGCGAATTACAGAAAAACTATAGCTCAGCGTAAAAAAATGTATAGATTGAAAAGTGAATAAAAAATAAAATATAATCCACTTTCCAAATTTCAGACTAATCCGACTATCCTCACTCAATCAATAATCAATATATCTTTATATATAATTTATTTTGGTCATTCCTGTTTGTGACCAAAAAGAATTACCAATGAAATCATTTTAAAAAATAATTTGTTGAATTTACCAAGAGCATTTCCAATATAGATGGGTCACACATATTTTCATAATTTATTTGTTCTTTTTTTAGACTTGGACTTAAATTGGATTCCAAACAAGTACCGCCGAGGATGTATTGTGATATCTGTGAAGAATTCGATCTTCACGAAACCGAAGATTGTCCCACACAAGGAGATGATGATGAGTTAGTAAATAATTCTAGTCCAGGGATGAAACAAAAACCCCCACAAAGAGATTATTGTGACGTTTGTGAAGGTAAGTGAAAACTGTATATTTCAAACATCAAATAATATTTCTTTGTTGTAAGCTGATCACGTTTGGTGTACACATAGTTTCAAAATAAAAAGCACTAAATTCTTAGAAAAGTGAATACGCTAAAAGGACGGCATTGTTAACAGAAATGTACATACAGTATAGATAAAAGTTTATGGTCGGTATGGTAGAATTTAACAGGATATCTAACATAGATATCAAATCATATTTTCAGCGAATAGACAAAGAAAACAAATATATTTCCCCTTTGATGTTGTCGCGGGCCATATAATAATTTTGTTACAAGTAATAACAAAATAAAGTGAGGTATAAAAATAATTAAAACAAAAATAGAGTATTATTTCTTTTATTGCTCAACAACTACATTTTTTTATAAATGGAAAATTTATTGATAACATTTTTGAATAATCAAGACAAACATTGCAAAAGCAACGAAAAAGATGTATCGAATTAGTGTGAGGACTGTGGTCGATCGGCTTGAAGTGGAATGAAGAAATATCCACCTCCAATTCAGTTGTAGACACTCTCATAAGATGACGTAAGGAAGAATCGGTAAGGTTGCTTCTGTTGTTATTTTTTATGTATTGCATGGAAGAATAGGCACTTTCACATGTATATGTGCTTCCGAATATTGACGTCACTTTCAGTCCAAAATCTCGCAGGTTTGGGAATTTCTCCTTTGACAGTAATTTGAAAAATTCAGGTCCCTTTTCTTGTCTGGTGATTAGGAACATGTTGAACACTCAAATGTTAAGATGATTAGTCAGATCTGTTATAAAAGCTAACTGTCTTAAGAATTCTGGATCCTTAAACTTCTCTTCCAGTTCAGTTGTGTCAGATGAAACGTATTTGTTAAGGAATGTAGGGATTTCCCTTCTTATGACAAAAAATCGTTCCATGCACTTTCCTGCACTCAACCACCTTACATGGTTGTACATTAGCAAGGCTCCATACTCAGCCTCTGTTTCCACTAAAAACTGCTTAAGTTGCCTGTGTAAAAGAGATCAATTTCCACCTCTAATCATATTTATAATCTTAATCACGGTTTGGAAAACTTGATCTTCTTTGACTGATTTTCCACATAAAGCTCCCTGATGTATAATACAATGAATTGTTGGGCAATTGACACCATTCTCTCGAAGCAGACCCACTAATCTAATTTTTTTACCTGTCATTGATGGGACCCCGTCTGTTACTATGGCTGAACATTTATCAAAGCCTCCAATTCTGTCAACTCAAATGTTTAATGATTAAACTTGAGAGATCGCTGGTTAAATTGTATTGAATAAATAATTATAACGAAAAAATGCAATTTTAGATTGTATATAAGATTAGCGAAAATAGCGAATATTTGTAGCAAATATATGTAAAATAAAATGAATTCAAATAACAATTGGCAGATTTTATATCTTATTGTCAATTCTATATGAGATTCACTTACCTTTTTTTGTCTATGGTCGTCCCGGCTGGGGTTGGCGTGAGATACATTGCTGTGGTGATCTGCTGGGCGCTTGCTTCCGTACAGGACGAGAGTTCTTTGAAGAGTGGTCGATCATATGCAAAGGGGCACGTATCTCTTACCCCCAAATCGACTAGAGGGTACTGTTTTTAGAGACCTCCGTGAATAGCCGTAAATTAAACTTAAAGTGACATTCTTTACTTGCTACGGATACGTTTTCTTAAGGAAGCTGAAGTGTTTTGGGTTGATATATGTTTCCCAAAAACATGTTGAATTTCAGGCAAGTGAATTCTCAGAACTTGACAATAATTAATCAGCCAATTTGAGTTCGAGAATTCAAAAATAAACTAAAGCCATATTGCACTTAGGTAATATATTATGATTAAATAAAATTTAAAACTAAATAAGGTCATACTCGTAACAATGAAAATAAAATATTTAAATTACTTGACACTTTTCCAAACAAGGACAAATATCAAATAACTCCTCTTTACTGGCAAAATCATCAAAAGTAGTGCGCACAAATATTAACAGCTGACTAACATCGGTTTGATCAGTGCTTTCATCCAAACAAAGTGAGAAATATGAACTTTTCTTAACCAGGTTAAGCATAGATTTTTCTACTACCCATAGCAACGATCCTTCTTTGTATGGTTTGATGTGAAAGTAGCACTGATTCAAATTTCTCTGCCATTTTAGAATCACCGAAAGCTTTGGCCATTTCAACAGCACATTTTTTTATCAAATTGCTATCAGTGAAAGTTTTTTTTTGCCTTTGCCAGCTCAAGCGACACGGCATAAGATGATTGCAAAGAATGCTTTTGAGAGTGTAATATTTTACTGAACATACCAGTTTGCTGTTTAAGCTTTTTCTTCAAATCTGCAACTAGGACACGCCGACGTTCATTTGTGTACGTGGCATGCACTGTTGTGTAATGTCTTCTCACATTATATTCTTTAGGCACTGAAACGACATTCATGCACACTAAGCACTGCAACTTTCCATTATTGTTAGCAATCAAGCAATCACTCTCCCAACTTTCTTTGTAAATTCTGTTCTCACTATCAATTTTCCGTTTTACTGGTTCTACACTTATTATTGTATAAGAGGAATCAAGACAAAGAATTAATCAAGTTCACTGTTCACTAGCAACGTAATAGATTAGCCGACTAGCCTACGTGTCAGTAGCACACTGGCACGATGGCGGTTGGCGACGGATGGTAAGCAGTGGGAGGTGTGGCCTGCGTGAACTGTGATGCGCAGTAATCAGTGGAGTTCTCATAGTGGTGTAGGACGATTGTGTTCGTTACACGTCCGCGAAGCGGCAAGCGGTACAGCATTTAAAGAAAATATATGCTTTTCGAAAATCTTACGTGGGTCAGAACAAATAGCCTCGCGGATGCGACCCGCGGGCCGCCAGTTGGATAACCCTGTTATAAATCAACTATAGTATCAAGAAAGCATGTTTGTTAATGTCCTCGCTTAAATATTTTAATTAGTTTTTCAACTTGTTACTTGTTTACGAAAAGCGGTTCAGTTTCGTTAACGATAAAAATGTCAACGACTCATCTCTACTGTTTTTCTCGTTACTATATTGTTCTTAATTTAAGAACTCGACCGCGCCAAATAATTTTGTATGAAGCTTTTTTATTGTGGTGTCATATTGCAGTTTATTATATTTATTGGGAATAAGGCACAATGTGACTTTAAAATAACCTTATTTTGATGTTTAGATTTCCAATTCGGAAATCGTACTTAAAATACGAAACATTAATAAATTTTATTTACATAAAACGACTTCCGAAGTGGAAATCAAAATATTAAATTAAACTTATTGTAAAGGAAAATTGTGGCATATTTAAAATAAAAAAGAGTAAGCTGCCATTTAAATCAATTCGTCCAAATTTGATTGTCTTAGAACGTGGTTAAAATGCTAAAAAGACAACAGGTCAAATAAAACTAATAAGTTTGGCAACGTTGAACTTCTCCTCTTTTCTTTGTTCCACTAATGCTATTTCGACGATATAAAGGGCGGACCTAATATACCTCTTTTTTTTTATAGGTGTTTCTCACTCCATCTCACATAAGGTACATACCGACCATAAACTTTTTACCTCCACTGTATATACATGGTTTACAAACTTGACAATGACTCGAAGGTAAAAGATTTCAGTGTAAGTTCGATTGTTCACTGCTGTAAATGGCCATTTTCACAACTTGTAGACATTGCCTGTTAATGGAAAATTTCTTGTTTTAGTTACCGTGAAATGGGGTGAGATTGATCAATTTGAACTTTATTCGATTTATACTTATTATATTAATATAACACTTCACGTGTTATATTAATATCTAAAGAGTAGTGATTTAACACTAGTTTGGTTTTAATTATTAAGAAGATCCACTTATCTCATAAAAAAGGGTGATCAATTTTAGATCCGTACTGGGACGAGATTGATCATGATGATTTTATAGCATGGAACAGTAGTGCTTTAAATAGAATATGATCAATCTTAACCCTGACTAAATCGGTCAGACAGTTTTTCGAATTTTTACAAAGGGGTGAGATTGATCATGCGAGGTGAGAATGATCAGACAATTTTTATTGTACTATTTTTTATTTATACAAAAAAAAACATATTTTAACAACTAGAAATGTAATTCAGAACAATTTATAAAAAAAGAAAATTTGATTTAACATTCTTTTATATTAATTTCTTCGCGAAAACGATATTTTTGTATCCTATCAGAAATCGCCTCAATCGGATCTGTTAGTAAGGCAACTACTTCCTTGAAGGGAACAGTGGATATGTCATTTTCAATTATTTTGAAAATCTTCCTCGATCCTGCTGATTTAAGGCATTGAACTTCGATTTCTTCTCCTTTTAAAACTCCTTTTACCTGACAGACATAGCGAAATTCCGTCGTTTTCCGATAACCAGAGAAAATCTCACTAACAGGAATTTTCCCTTCGTGATTTAATACATATACGAGGGGATTCCAATATATACCAAGGAATTTACAAATGCTACAAATAGAATTAAATTTGTAGTTTTCTTGCATACATATGTATTTAGTTCACAAAATATTCATATAATTTTATTGTTTCAGTATTTGGTCACGCAACTGAGGATTGTACAGAAGATCAAGAATTTTAATGTAAATAAAATTTCAATTAGTTAATTGTTTGAAATAAAGAAAGTATGTTACAATTTTTTTTAATTGAACCTATTAAATTTTTAGTTTACAGGTACTTAAAACAAAAATTATATACCATACAAGAACTAGAAGTGAATGACTATTTACTTTGACTAAAAACTTGTAAAGATATCACAGGGCTGCAATTAAAAAAAATGATCGATGGCTAAACATAAGAACTATAGGTCAATCTCTTTGCTGTCCCAAATGTACAAAATATTTATGAGAGTAATAGATACGAAAACCAAAGCTAAACCAATCTGTGTAGCAAAAAAAACTGACATGTGATAGGAAAAAATCTCAACGGATTTGGATTCAGCGCCAAAAAATAGAGAAAAGGCACCAAATTTGAGACACTTTTTTTGAAAAATACATATAAAACAGAATATTCAAAAGTTTTTAAAACATTTACTTTAAAAAGTAAATGTTACTTAAAAGAGAAGAAATACTGTCTGCAGCCTTTTTGGATATCTCGCAGGCTTTTCATAAAGCCTGGCACACTGGCCTGCTATACAAAATAAGGCAAGTCCTTCCTCTCAACTACTTTGTAATCCTCAACTCCTATCTTTCTGACAGGCATCTTCTTGTAAAAGTAAAGGATCAGTGCACTAACTTATATCCAATCAAAGCTAGAGTACCTCAGGGTAGTGTCCTTGGACCTGTTCTCTACCTACTTTACACAGCAGAGCTTCCTACAAGTCAAATCATCGTCATAGCCACATACGCAGACGACACAGCAATCCTTGCGTCTCACTCAAACCCATATATCGCCTCACAACTGCTCCAGACCAATTTCGACAAAATAAAGATTTGGTTACAAACATAGCAAATTAAAGTTAACGAAAGCAAGTTAGTACATCTAACGTTCACTAATCGAATAGGTACATGCCCAACCGTCTCATTAAATAACCAAATACTACAACAAAAGAATGATGTAAAATACTTAGGTATGCACCTGGACCCCATATAAACGTGGAAGAAACACATTCACGAAAAGAAAACAGTTGGGTCTGAAACTCAGTAAAATGTACTGGCTAATAAGAACTAGATCACAACTGAATTTGTACAATAAAATCCTAGTATACAAGTCAGTGATAAAGCCAATATGGAGCTATGGGATCCAACTGTGGGGATCTGCGTCAAGATCCAATATCAACATACTGGAGAGATTTCAATCGAAGAACTTCCGCATTATAACAATGCACTGTGGTGCATACCCAATGAATTTTATCAATCGCGATATTCAGATGAAAACTGTAAAAGAAGAAATTGCCAGTTACTCCCAAAAATATGACAGACGTCTGCAAAACCACCCCAACAGGCTAGTGAAGAACCTTATGAGGACCCAGGCAAACAGAAGGCTAAAGTATTTTACTCCAAGCGATCTACCAACAAGATTTAAAATTAATTTTTTTTATTTATTTATTATAAACATTATATTAGAGCTACAAATAATTTTGTTACTAAAATTATGATTTAATAGGTTATTGTCACCACTGGACAGTCTCTGCAAGTCTCTTGTAATCTAATTAAACAATTTACTTATTATAATCCTTATACAGATTGTAAATAAATAGGATGTTCAAAAAAATTATAAAAAGAATTGCTGGTAAAGGCCAAATTGATGCTGGAAAAAAGTATTTTCTCAATGAAAAATTCCTATAATGTTACTGTTGTAAAAACAACATGTTTATAATATTGTATTGTATTTAGTTATTTCATCAACTTCTGCTCTCAGTTCGTCAGCCCTCGTGTTAATATGTTTGCGACTCTCTCCGTTATAATCTCTCCTCACCCCCGTTATAGGACTTAGCCAGAGAACTAGTAGAACCGTTGTTTTGTGTTAAACCGTAAACTGTTTTGTTTCTCTCTTTAACTGTATCTTTGTTACTTCCTCCTAGCACATAAAGCTAATGATATTTGTACAACTCTTTTTAGTTTAGTCTGAATGCGATAATTTCAATGCTGAATCAGCCCTCTAAGTACATTACAAATAAATCGAAGGAAAAATATGTCAATAAGTGTTTTATTGCTTCAGTGGTCCTTGATAAATATTTTGAAGCAATCAGGTGTTCAACAACACCTCTCTTAAATATGGAAAGTTAGGTAACAATTTTACCCTCTCCACCAGTTACGAAGAGATTTATTTATTCACTGTAGACTTGTGTAATCTTCTAAAAGAGGTGATCATTTCTACCAGTTGTGCTGAAAAAGTTAGAATAATAAAAATATTTAAATAATTAAAATTTAATTTATTAGTCACATTAATCTTAATTACAAAAACCAAATCAAATTTATTCCCTAATCCAATCCTTCCTTCTTTTCTTTGATCGCTTCCTAAAAAATATTAATTTTAATACAGAAACATTCAATAAACAGTTGTTAAAAAATCATTTTGTAAATCTCGTATATATCATTTCGATTTAAAAATAAGGCCAAATTTATACAAATAATATGAAGGAAAACAATAGTACATTGTTTACCGGGTAGGAAAAGCTTAACATTCCTGGACGACTGTGAAGATTGCTAAGTCGAGGCGCAAGCCGAGACTTAGCAACACAGAGTCCAGGAATGTGGCTTTTCCTACGAGGTAAATGTACTATTTTTCCGCAAATCGTTTAAAATTCGACAGATATTGATTGATTTAAAAAAAAAAACGCGATAATTTTATTCCCAAATAAATGGTGCTTTGAAATTCCTAATAAAATTACTTGGGTTACTATGGAAACGTATTGAGGTTGAATTGTCAAACTTAGTCCGAATGACTGTACACGATATAGAAGACTTAGAATCTAATTCTCATAGTTCTAAGAGTGTTCCTCCAATGATCCTCCAAATTGATCTTAAAAATGTATTCAGCAATGATTTGATGTTTTCAAAATATAAATTAATTCCTTATAAGCAATGTGTTTTCTATCATTTATGTAGAACACTAACAACTGTACGGAAATATCATTTCCTTACAGTAAGGAAATGACATTTCCTTACAGTAAGGAAGTCCTGACTTTTTCTTCAAGAAATTTTGACAGGAATGTCAAAATTTCCTGGCGATTTGTGGAAAAATTATATTTCTACTATCTAGGTGTAAGACAGCCTGTGATAATACTGAGCTTTTTCATGGCACTCAAATATCTCTTGCATACAAGCTTGGTTCATTGCAAGTTAAGAATTATTGAATATAGCAACAAGGTTTCTTTATATGTCTTTTATTTGGACAACAAAATTATGAAACAATTAAGTGATAACACAGAATGAATGATGCATAAGAAAGCAACCCCTCTACTTGGACCACTATCTTCCACTTCCACTATCTGATGTATTCCATCAATTAGCATGCGAATATACTCCTGGGGCTGTTATTCCACTTCTCTATAAAAATATAAGTTCATTTTTGCTCATTTTTTTAACTTATTCCAACTTCAATTGATTATTCTGTAACACACCTGGAGAAATGTGGTCTCACATTGGCTTGTATAGGAGTAAGTTGTTACTTATAAAGCATGAATATGGGATGTGATTGGCTAAAATATTAATATATCTTCCAGATGTCAGAATACTGCATCAATAATGATTAGACAGAAATCCAAATGAGAATGTATATGAAAACATCAAAGAATCAATACATGCAGCAGCATGAGATACATTCTACCTACATTCAGCAAACTATTGCAGCATTTGTATTCAATCTTTAAAACCAAAATTATTTGATTGTATAGTTAGCAAGCAGATTTCTTGACTAATCTATTAACCTATCAACTTGATATTATAAACAACATTGAAAGCAGGAAGCAGACTGATTCAATTTACACAGATTTCTCTAAGGCATTTGATCATGTTGATCAGTAAATACTGTATACTAAGTTGATTTTAAATGGGTTCGACCAAAACTTTGTTTCTTGGTGGAGAAGTTCTTTCACTTGTTATATTCAAAGAGTTAAAATTGGTTGTTATTTTTCTGAAGAAATTGTGGTCACATCTGGAGTTCCAGAGGGAGGCTATAGTTCTCCTTTCCTCTTTAATATTCCCATGAATGATATAGTTACATGTTTTTTGTATAGCAGCTGTGTGAATTTGCTGATGATCTCAAATTTGGAGAAACTTTGAATGTATTTCAGATCAGGAACTGAGTGGTGCCAAAAACATAAGCTATACTTGAATATCAACAAATGCAATTTTATAAGTTTCTCTAGGAAAACCACCAAGTCTGAGTCAAGTTAATTTATTGATAACTAGCTACTAAAATACACATCTACAGTAACAGATCTGGGTGTAATTTTCAATGAGAAATTAAAAAATAAGTTTCTTAAGATAAAATTTTTTTTTTCATTTTGAACTGACCGTTTTTTATGAACCTGAGAATACTTGGGGCTATTAAATTAGAAATTTATGCTTACCTTAAATCTTTCTTCAAACAAGGACAATTCTGAAATTAAATCTGTGATAGCGTGCATTAAGGCTTCTTGAGGTGAGTAGTCTGATGTTGTTTGGATTCGCAAGACAAATTTGTGCTCCAATGGATGAGGTAGTTTATAACCAGCGAATAATACGTTGGGATCTTTTAGAAGTTGACTAGAAAACAAAAATGAAAAAATTACTAGGTTTTTAGTATAAGAGATCTATCCGGATGTATCAGGTTTTCATTGATTGATAACAGTTTAAAACACAAAGTGTCTAGTTAGAAACGTGCAACAGCATGCTTTTGTTTAGATTGTATTTTTAAGCTCCTTGCATTTTATTATCGCATTCATAAGACCTAAGTTTTATATGAATTTTTTCCAAAATAATATCTTAAGCTCTATATCTACATCAAAATGCAATAAAAAAATAAGTAAACCAATTCTTAGTTTCTGTTTAGAATTAATGCAACGAGTAATTATTAGCAGTATGAAACTAAAGCAATATGTATAGGTACTTACTTTCTGATCATATTACCAAGTGTATGATCTTCTTTGTTAATAGTAAAAATGGCTGCATTTGGAACCTTCGTATCTTGTTCTAAGATGATCCTAAAATAACAATTTAAAAAAATAATGTATAGGTATTCTGTTAAAGTAGAAATACTGAAAGAGATTTAGGGAACAAGACTCTACAATAGAAAAGACAGACTTTAAAGAAATAAGTGTAAAACAATGTAGAACAAAGAGAATATCTAGAAGGTGGAACTTATTTACCTTATGGCTTATAATTAACACATAACAATCCTCCATTCCACGAATATATGACTGTTTTAAATTCGCTTTAAGGTGTCGACTTAAATGGTCCAATGTGCTGAATTGTACAATGGTAAATTCTCCCCATTTTTAAAATACTGTTATGACAGAATAGATATACACCTTAGATTTAAATATGAAGTTATGATCTAAATATAGAATTGATAGTTTATAGAATAGTTGTAATTCAGATTTTGAAGTATACTCGTATAATTACTCTCATTGATTTTAGTATTGTAAACAAGTTGGTTTTTGAATTAAGTGATTTAAACGAAGTGTAACAATACTTAAGTGATTAAATAGTTTAATTTATTTAGTCGAATATTCAATTAGTATTAAAAAAACAAAAAAACTTACTCTTACTCTTATTCTCCTAATCACCATTACAAACAAATACACTATACTAAACTCTCTCTTAACGGATACGTCTCTTCACCGGACACCTCTATACAGACTGTTTTTAAAACTAAAATCAATCGGCGATTTATGAAACTGTATGTAAATTTTCGTTACTTTTTAATATCTGTAATGACTCGGTACTTTAACTATCCATAGCCGCCATGTTATACCCGTTACTTTCGGAACTTTTAAGAGTATATCCACTCAAAGCAAACAAAAAACTAACAAAGTGGAATACTAGATTCTTTTCCTGGTTTCTGAACCATCGTTCTGCAAATTTCTTTTTATTTATATTAAAAATATTATATTTCTTTTTATTACCGTTGTAGTAATAAACTTGTACCTAATAAAGTAATAAAGATACCCGGCGCGCCTCTTTGGTGTTTATATTTCACCGAAATCCAACCCAAATGGCTGATGAACACATTTTAACTTCATAGAGGTCATTGTATTTATTTGTAAGGAGCGTTTACATAAATTTTTTTGTTATTTTCGGATTAATTTTCACAATAAATTTTGCGTCTATCTGAACATCTACTAACTGAAATAATTTTAATTTATATGTAATAGTAACAGATCCTTTTTTATGGAATAATAATTAGACCAATTTACTTTCATACTTCTACTTGTACAGTAAAATATTCGTTGTAGCAATAATTCCAAACAGTCGTATATTCGTGGAATAACCTATATAGGTATTCTGTTAAAGTAGAAATACTGAAAGAGATTTAGGGAACAAGACTCTACAATAGAAAAGACAGACTTTAAAGAAATAAGTGTAAAACAATGTAGAACAAAGATAATATCTAGAAGGTGGAACTTATTTACCTTATGGCTTATAATTAACACATAACAATCTAATAATAATCATGTAACAATGTTCAAGTAAGACACTTACTACTAAATTACTATGAAAGGAATACAAAGATGAATAAAGAAATACAGGTTATCTAATATTAAAAAATTATGTTAGATTATATGTATAGTACACTAATGGCACTAATTACTATAATATACTGAGACACTTTTTAGAAATTATTATGTGAATTTTAGAAATATCCAATATAAAATTTAGAATACTGTTGGTATAAGAAAGATAGCTCTAATTTATTACTCACTTTTTCTCTCCATCGTATAATAAAAACGATTCAAACGTTGGAGGCGCATTCATTTTAAAATACTTCTATGTAAATTACTACAACAATACAAGTTAAATTTCAATCGTTCTTTAATGTTTCATTCCTATCAGTGTTTTGTTTCAATTTTCAATTTGTGTATTTGTAATTTGTGGTTAAGTCCATTCTGGAGCCTCATCGATTATTTTATTCGATTATTAATCGACTTATTTAGGGAAGTACGAGCAAAAATCACCTTGTGGATTAACTGAAGTCATGGTTTTCTTTACTTCAGACCGGAACACTGAAATTTATCTACAGTGTAGACAGGGCTTAAGCAATTCACCAAAGAATAATTTAATTCTGAAAATCTGAACTTTGCTGATTAGAGCATGATCAGATGAAAGAAATGAGAACTAAGAGAGAGATTTTTATTTATAGAGAACAATTTCAATTATTTTTATATTGTGAAATTTGATTTTGATGGCCAAATACCAGCTGTGGTACAGCGTTGTCATCTTCAATGTTCCGGACTGGAGGTGTAGACGACTAGGCTGAAGTGCAAATCACAGCACACTCCCACCTAGCAGTGCCAGTCCTATGGTGCCCATGTTAACGAGTAAAACGACGATTAGCGTATCACCTAGTGTCAGGGTGCGTAACTACATATACATGGCGGTAAATAAAAAAAACACGCAAACTAACCCAATATTGCACTCATTTTAAAGCAAGGGAAATCAATATAATCCTAAAATAACAAAAAATCCATATATTATAAATACGATATGTATATATTTTTTTCGTATACTATTTAAGTTTTCTTGTTATGTTGAGGTTATATTTATTTTCCATTACATTAAAATACCAAAGTGGTTAGAAAAATTAAGTAATAAAATCTTTATAGATTTTTATTATGTAAATGTTACAAGAAATTTTATATGTGTTACAAGAAATAATAATACAAGCCAAGTGTAGTATAATTTAGTTTTCTTAATGTTGTGACAAGAACTTGTCAGTATTTTAAATAATTGTTTTTTTATTCTAATGCCAAGTTTTATGTGAATAAAAGTATGAATAAAAGTCTGGTTTTCTTGTCGTGGTAAAACTTGGAAACAGCCTTTCTCTTAGTACCCCTATGTCCAACTTTGATTATATCCTCCTCTCTTTAAAATAACTAGCGCATTCATAAAAATGGTTATAGTTTCTGTTGCACCATTCTCTAATTTAGTCTAAAATTGTAAAATGTTCATTGCCTTTTTTGCACTATTTGACTTAAATGACACAAAGGTGACAACCACAGCACTCTTTCACCAGGTTTAACTGGACTGGAGTATTCTGTGCATCGAGCAAAAAGACAACGCGTAGGAACGAGACTAGCAATGCCACCAAACGGAAGGGTGCACAAATAAAAACGTGCGTTCACTTGGCTATCTTGTTACCAATCTAGATTTAATTTATCTGTGTACATTTTTATATTATCTTTTATATACTGTGTATAGTATTGTGCATTGTGTATTATGTAAGTATAGTCTCTGGAGATTGTAATTTCCTCTCTTTTTAAATTAAAATTAATGTAGACAACTAGCTCTTATTCCGATCAGAAGTCATTTGTCAAAGTTCAAAAAACCAGTTTGGTTTTGGTATCATGTAAATTTGTGATTGGTTAAAATGTGACATTATCATATTCTGTGGTTGTTGGTTGTTACGTGTTACGTCTACGTCCTTCAATATCAATACTGTCAAAAAGTATTCAAGAGACTGCCTTTTATAACATAACCTGGTATTTCAGTTTTCTTCGTTATATGGTTAAACATAACGAAAATTAGTATTAAATGAGTCGGTGATACATATTCCATTTAAATAATGAGTAACTCTATTATTTATAAGTTATTAGTTTTAAGTTTAGTTATTATTTTGGGAGTTGGTTGTAGTAATGGCCAGCTTATTTATGCTGTAAATTGTGGAGGTGAAGCTCATACAGACTCATTTGGAATTCGGTACGAAAGAGACCCTCTACACGGCCGTATCGGAATTGCATCTGATTATGGTAAACGTCTTTTAATTGGAAGAGTTCCCCCAACTGATTACATTTTGTACCAGACTGAAAGATACCACACAAACACATTTGGATATGACATTCCAGTAATTTCGGATGGAGATTATGTACTAGTATTAAAATTTTGTGAGGTTTATTTCAATGCGCCCGATCAGAAAGTTTTTGATGTTGTTTTAAATGGAGATCATACAATTGTAGCTGATTTAGACATATTTGAGAAAGTTGGAAGAGGTGTTGCTCATGATGAATACATACCATTCAATATAATAAAAGGTAAGTAAAACATTAAAATTTCTTATAATTTTCATTCAATAATACACAAGTTTCCTAAAGGTAAAAGTGGTTTCAAATAGAGAGATTAGACTGATTAAAAAATACTTTGTATTTTTATTTAGATTTGTGTAGTAGATGCCTAAGAAAATGAAAAAGAACTTACAAGGAAAAGACAGATTGTAGAGTGGTGGCACAAAGGTCTCAAACTGATCTTCCTCTTATGGTGCCTATATATTCACGATGTTGGCGATTAACATGGATATACTTATTTTGTTGACATCTGTTTGGAATAATCCAGTTGTAGAATTATTTAACCATCCTCTCCAGTTCTAGAGCCACAAAATTGTTCTCTCTGGTAATTTTTTTCCATACTCTGCTCTAAAGAATGAGTTTTCAACAAACTACATTTATCTACATATTTTTAAACATTTTACGGAATTTTGACAATGTGCCAGTTTAAAAAAAATGTGGCTTTTTCTGAAAAAAAGCTACATCTTATATTATGGCCCAGATATTCTAATTTGCATTCTTTGATTCATTTATTTATTTATTTATTTAATTAACGGATATACCATTTTTACAGAAATATGACGTCAACCTTTACAAAGCTTATACATAGGTTGCATTAATAAAAAACAAACCAAAATTAAAATCAAACAAAATTCAATTAAAATGGTAGCTTAATTTATTAAATAATGCTCAAAATCTCTCAAATAATTTCTTAAATGTTGCTGTAGATATTCCAAATAATCTAAACTATTGCTGTGCTCATTGGCAGTACATAAAATTCTTGTAATGGGTTCATTTGGTCATAATTCGTACTGTGGAATGGAATGTTGAAAATCTCAGTGTTACGAGTTCTAGTATTAACATTAAAACTTATTAAACATAGTAATTCTGGATCTTGAACATATCCATTTATAATTTTAAAAAGGAAACATAAATCCGCTTGACATCGTCTATCATGTAGTGATGAGATATTTAGTATTGACAGTATATCATCATACATAAATAAATAAATAAATAAATAGTTTATTTACGGTTATACCTCAAGAATTTTATTTTGAACTCTCTCGATACTGTAGATGTCACTGTTATATGAAGGAGACCAAATGAGAGAACCATACTCCAAAACTGATCGAACTAAACTAAGTATAACATTTTTAAAGTTTGTACTGAAAACTGATTTACAGTTTCTAAGAATAATCCTAACATATTTTAAAGCTTTAGCTGAAGTTTCGTTAATGTGATTTTTAAAAGTTAGTTTAGAATCAAAATTTATACCTAAATCTTTATATATTATGACGTGCCTCTAAAGGTACATTATTTATATAATAATCATAATTTACAAACTCTCTTGATCTTCCAAAAGTAATTTTAAAACATTTTTGTATATTTAAGTATAGCATGTTTACCTCACACCAACTAGCTAAGCTTTTAATGTCATTCTGTAATAAAGAGGCATCAACTAGGTCATTAACTATTCGAAATCTTTAAGGTCTCAGCAAACATTAGAAATTTACTATTTTTAATCACTGAGAATATATCATTAACAAATATATTAAATAAGAGAGGCCCAATATACGACCCCTGAGGAACTCCTGAGATTACAGATACTTGTTAAGATAAACAATTTTCATATTTAACATACTGACATCTACCAGATATATAACTACCTATCCACTCAATTATTTTACTCCAAATCCATAGCCATTTAATTTAGCAATAAGCAGATCATGGTTAACTCTATCGAAGGCTTTTGAGAAGTCTGTGTAAGATAGCGTCAACCTGACCCTTCTGTTCCACTGAATTAGCTATAAAATTCGTATACAATATTAAGTTCGTGCATGTAGACTTACCCTTAGAAAAGCCTATGTTGTCTAACATCAATTAATTTTTACAATTCCATGTCAAAAAGTTATTACAAGACACTCAAAAGTTTGGGGTAATACAGATTGGCTACAAAACGCTCGATAATTCTCAACATCATTTTTATTACCAGACTTGAAAATTGGTGTTAAATAAACTAGTCTTCCAAAGATCAGGAAAGATGCCAGTCAATGAGGAATTAAATAAGTAGCAGATAGGTTTTACAAGAGTGAAAATGCAATGCTTGAGAACATAAGCTGGCAAACAATCTGGTCAAGCGATAATTTCCAAGGCATCTTTAAAACACTATTCAATTATGTCAGAGACCTCAATACTATAATTATTCACATTTACACTCTGCTGATAGTTAAAAATATATATTATAAATTTATATAAATAGATATATTTCCAAAAATGTCGAGGATTAGATAGATTCCGAGGATTTCGAGGATTCTATGAATGATCTCAAATTCTTTCACTATTCCATCTTCTTCTGATGGCACCATCTCCTTTCGAAGATTGGTGATCCAAATGGCAATGAGTTCTGGCGTCTTCCTTCTTTCTTTTGCCCTATACTTTTTTTTCCAGTATAACTTGAAGTATTTCATATTTTTCGCCTCTCAAACATGACCAAGTATTGCATTTTCCTGTCTTTGATTATTCTTAGTAATTCTTTTTGTTTATACCTTCGACGAAGTACCTTAACATTAGTAACTCTTTGTACCCATGAAATTCTCAACATTTGTCTGTATATACATCTCAAAAGCATATATTCTTTTTTCTATTTCAGAGTCCATTGTCCAACTTTCACAGCCATACAGTAAGACAGAAAAGTTGTCTAAGCTGCAGACTAAGGTTTAGTTTTGGAAACATTTAGATGTAAACCGAACATTTCGCTGTGGTGAACTACCGCATTTATTTATATTTTGTAGTTCTTGTGCGTTGCTTGCTATTAGGACAGTATCATGAGCATATCTGATGTTGTTTATGCTGA